CAATGTCAATGTGATGTGGACCTCTGTCGTATAAGATATCAATGTGACGTTGACCTTTGCTGTGTACAAAGTCAATATGGTATTGACATGCCTTGTAGGATATTTCAATGTGGTGTTGACCTCTGTTGTGCAAGATGTCAATGTAGTGTTGACTTCTGCTGTGTACAATGTCAATGTGATGTGGACCACTGCTGTGTACAATGTCAATATGGTGTTGACTCGCTGCATGGGATATGTCAATGTAGTGTTGACCTCTGCCCTGTATGATAGGTCAATATGGTGTTGACCTCTGCTGAGTACAATGTCAATGTGATGTGGACCTCTGTCGTGTAAGTTATCAATGTGACGTTGACCTTTGCTGTGTACAATGCCAATATGGTGTTGACCTGCAGCATAGGATATGTCAACTTCTGCTGAGTACAATGTCAATGTGATGTGGACCTGTCGTGTAAGATGTCAATGTGGTATTGACTTCTGACATGTATGTCAATGTAATATTTCCTTGACGTGTACTATGTTAATGTGATGTTCACCTCCGACATGTTTGTGTTTGATAAAGGGCACATAAAATATGTGTAAAATATATTGTTTAAATAAAATTCAAACTCACTCTGCACAACAGTTTTAAATTAAGTTTTTCCTTATGTACAAAATCCAACATTTTATTATCATATTTACATAAAAGTTTGCATGTCAAAAGGTCTTTTCTAATCCTAGGTTCAACACCTTTTTATGAAACAAATCCTTGCTGGATAGTAGAAGAAGTGTGTACAAATATGCTGAGCATCTGCAAAACCTCATCACTCAAACAGGATTCAGATATTATTTATAAATAGCTGATAGGCACCAAAACATTCCGTCCCATCTTCATTTATAAATACAGACAACATGGGTGCAACATGATTCTTTGGTTTGAAGTTTGACCATTACCATTCAGCATGTTTTCAATTCGTTACACAGATTGAAGATTGAGATAGTACAATTTTGTTTTAGATTTAAAGCCAAAATACCATTATTGCGATACAGAATCTTCATAAAACAAAAAAGATATTCAGCCCTAACAAAACCGATCCACAGTGGTATAGCAGTATATGGCTATTTCTTGTTTGGTTGATTCAAATGTTGTGACTTCCACCAACCAATATGCATGAGTCCATTACCACTTATTTTATTCACATACGATTTGTTTGTTTGCAGTCATTTTAACTTTAAGTATAAAATAGCAGCAAGTATTGCCATCTCCAAGAGTATAATGAATCCAAGTATAAGTTTATTTGTGATCAACCTGCAAGACAGAATAATATACGATATATCAGTCATCATGTAGCATTAAAAACAATAATGACATATTTGCATTCGTACAAAACTTTCGAAATGGTCCTTATTTGGAGTAAGAAAACACTGAACACATTTGAGATTATTTATGCAACATTCAAATGCATGTTAAATTGCACTAAATTATTACTGGAAGCCTGAATAAGATGTATAATAATAAGGTTATTATGAGAATACCGCAAAGTATAAACCTTATAGTATAGTGCCCAAGATTCTATTTACCGGTAGTATACAATAGACAGGCTGTGATGCAAAAAATATGTGGTTGTGGTTGTTTTATAATCAAGGTTTTTGATTAATAATTTGATGTTCAAATAATATTCTGAAGACACTGCAAAATATTTATTTTCACTGAAGGGTTGATTTAGTGAAAATAAAACCCAGTTAATATACTTTTTTTTCCTATATTTTGCATTCAACTTGTCAAAAATCAATGAAAATAAATTTGATACAAAAAACCTCAAAATTCTTTTTAGTGAACATTAATTCCAGCTAAAATGAAGTATTTGACAGTATGCCAATGTGATAACTTCATTATCAAATCAGACAGCTAACATTAAATAATTATGTATTCTTGAAACTTTAGAGTGGTGCCTGGCTTATTGTTTCTGTTTCTTAAAATTAAAAACTTAAAAAACTTAATAGTGAGAGAATCCACTGAACTTTGTATTCAGTGGGTGCTCTTACTACCAACGTCTGGTTGCAAAAACTGCAATATTATTTAAATTTTTACTAAGATGTTGTAGTTTTTACTATCCACAAACATATTGTACACTTTTCAGTTTTAAGTATATCCACTGCTTTATTCCATTGACAGTTTCACATATTAAATGTATATTTTCCATGATTTATGCTTGTATCTCCTTCCTCAACATCAGGCCTCAAGCCCTCCGACCCTTTAAAAACAATCAGGCCACATGCCCTCTGACCCTTTAAAAACAATCTTCAACTGATATTATACAAATATATGTCTACTTCAGTGAATTTTTTCCACCAATTTCTAGTTCCCGTAACTCTTGGTGTCTTTCTTAGCTTATTGAACAAAGATTATCAAGGTGGAGTCTAAATTTACACTCCTTCTAGGAGGTACTGGCCATAACCACAACTCTATAATGTATTTATTTAGCAGATCACGAGTTACTTCTGCACCAAGAGAATTAATTGGTGAAGCATTTTCATTGATATTTTGTATTTCATTATTTTATTATATTACATTGGGCTTTTGTGACACCATAAAAATTAAATATTCTCTTGCATTAATACCTGTATTTATATTACAATTTACTGCATGAAGGCTACTTAATGGGTGGCACATGATTGAAATCAATATTATTAAACAGAATCTTGACAACATATGCCACAGAGTATGTCTAGGTCACATGGTTGCCTTATGATTTATAATATTTTTCACATGCTTCTGTTCATTTTGTTATGTATAAGAAAAATATTTCACAACATTTTACACCTACTTGGAGACATGTAAGATTGATTGGTTATAATAAATAATTATTAGCTGTAATGCAGTGGCTAATGTTTTGATTTTGTTTGAACCATCCTCATTTGAATACTGATAAGATAGATGCAAGAAAGATGCACGCCCACCACCCCACCACAAGGACTAGCAAAAAACAACTCTATTTGTTATACACTGCCTTACTTTCTTCCCATGGAATTTAAAATTTTTCTACTTTTACTAAGTTCTGCATTCATTCCATGTACCTGTAAAGATTGAGAAAGAGATTTATGAGAAAAGGTACAATATACACTATGTAGTAATGTGTGTGTTGAAATCGGGGAATGTACATGTACTTGTGAGTCTTAACTAGTGTTTAGAGCAGTTCTCAAGTATAACTGCTCTAACCAATATTACTGTATGATGATGTATTTGTTACAGTTACTATCAGCTACCACACTGGTGGTAACAACACAAGCAACTTGGTCAAAACATTCTGTATTATTGTACAAGTATTTTATGTGATCTTTAAATTTTGTTCTTCACTCACTCACATATATATATCTAATATATATGCGATATATATCGAATGTTTATACACTGTGGAATGTACCAAAACAAACACAATTTCTTTGCAGGGCAGATAACATGCCAGCTTCTGTTCCATCAGGTTATAATGCCTTAAAGTGAGTGCTTTGTTCAATGGTTTTCATATCTCTATAATATAAGGGTAGGCAGTGTCACAAGAGACACAAAATAAAATATTTTCCACCATAGTAACTAACAGGTGGAACTACAGGTGGTATCTGTTGATAAAACCATAGTATTAAAAAAAACTCAACATCAGTGCTATATCAGAAATACTGATAACAACCACCTACCCTGTCCTGGGTTCTAACAAGCTGCTCTTTCTGTTCTCCCAGGTCACCAATTATTTCCACAGCAACCTCATCTGTTTCTGCTGCCACCCTACGTGATCTATCAATGCTGTCTGATGCTCTCATCAATGTGTCTGTCCCTTGTAATAATCGTGATCTCTGAGAACTTTGCATTGCCTAAGATAAGGTGACATACTGTAAGATTGCAATTCATGCATACCTTTAACCTTAGAGTGAAGTGGGTTATTCAAGACTTTCTGAAATATGTTGCAACTTGACCAAGACAGTGGCAACAAAAAAGCTATTTAGAGTAGAAATAAATGGCTGCAAATTGCAAACAATTATTCAGTTATTGGATTGTTTTTAAAAACATAATATTAGTAATACCGGGTAAGATACAAAGTAAGACTTTGCATATATAAAATGACACTGAATGTAACTTTTTACTCATTCTACAGTGTTCATCCATGGATGTTTTTCTGAGTTTTTTCAAACCAGGCAAGTCAATGGTAATTGTTGCTTCTACTTGGGGGGGGGGGGGGCAATTTAAAATTTATTTCAATTTTCAAGACCATCCCCATGTCCAATCAAACAGTGTCTTACACTTCACAATATTACACAGCAAAGGAAACAGAGTTTTTAATTTCTGTCATGGCATTTTTAAAACATGTCATGCATGGCATTTTCATGATATGTCATTGTATTTTCAGCACATGTCATTCTGTTTTTACCACACGTTGTTTTCAGCACAAGTCATTGCATGATTCAACACATGCCAATGTGTTCTCAGCACATACATGTACCATTGCATGATTTGACACATGTCATGGTGTTTTCAGCACAAGTCATTGCATGAGTCAACACATGTCATGGTGTTCTCAGCATATACTATTGCATGATTTGACACGTGTCATGGTGTTTTCAGCACAAGTCATTGCATGATTCAACACATGTCATGGTGATCTCAGCACATACCATTGCATGATTTGACACATGTCATGGTGTTTTCAGCACATACCATTACATGATTCAACACATGTCATGGTGTTTTCAGCACATGCCATTGCAAGATTTGACACATGTCATGGTGTTCTCAAGCATATGCCATTGCATGATTTGACACATGTCATGGTGTTCTCAAGCACATACCATTGCATGATTTGACACATGTCATGGTGTTTTCAGCACATACCATTACATGATTCAACACATGTCATGGTGTTCTCAGCACATACCATTGCATGATTCAACACATGTCATGGTGTTCTCAGCACAAGTCATTGCATGATTCAACACATGTCATGGTGTTCTCAGCATATACTATTGCATGATTTGACACATGTCATGGTGTTCTCAGCACATGCCACTGCATGATTCAACACATGTCATGGTGCATTCAGCACATATTAAACATGAGTAACTCAGTTTTAAAAGATTCTAGATACGCATATTTTCTCAATAGTCAGCTATGGTTCCGAGAGTTGGGCATTTTGAGAATGAGCTGGAAGGGTAATTTAACAAATGAAAAGGTTGAAGAACGTATGGGATGTCAACTGAAATTGACAACAAGGCTGTGTCAAAGGAAAGCTAGGTTTGCAGGACATGTTCTTAGACGATCTAATGGAGGGCTTGCTAGTCTTGTAATTGAAGGTACTATAGAGGGATATCGAGGCAGAGGATGACCTAGAAGAACCTGGGGAAAGAACATCACAACATGGACAAACACGGAAAACCTTGGGGTTGCCAAGAGAAAAGCTGAGAACAGAAGTTTCTGGCGCAGTCTTGTTGTCAACCTTCAAATGGAAGAAGACACTGGATGATGATGAACTCGGCTATTAATCATCATCAAAGAAAGCAAAGTCAGTCAAAAAAATGATTTGCTTACATACTAGTATTAATAAATCTCAACAACAAAAAACTCAAATTTTATGAAAAGTATTTACTTACAGTAATTTCTGCCTGAGTATCATGAACACCAGGACCAAAAGAATCTCGACCACTAGCTCCACTCGATAACTGTCGCTAAATTAAACAAAACACAGTGATCCTTTTCTAATGAACTTTGAAGCTTAAAATAGATTAATTTTTTTAAATTATATTATTAATACTCTGTACCAAAATACAGTGAAGTGTTATAGTGGTTGGCCAATAATTATTTCTTTTTTTAATTTAAATGTAATGCGAATTCCTTGAAGCAAACATTTTCTAATAACAATCAATACTTGTTATTACTTTGTTTGGAAGATACACATTTCATATTAGTGTTCTAAAGTATTGTTACTAGTTATTTACCAATTTGTTTTGTATCTTTTCAAGATCTCGTCTGTAACTTCTGACTTTACTCAAAGACTGTATTCTGTAAGTTCCTGGAGCAGGTTTCAATTCCTCTTCCATTTCATGCACCTAAAATATGTACAGAAAAAAAAATCAAAATTAATTTTGAAATGTGTTTACAAAGTTACAAAATTAATTAAAAGAACCTACCAATTTTTTATGGTTGGGTGTGCTTTAAAGCGGGAGTGTGGTCACCTATGTATGCGTCAGACGGCCATAGCGTGTCGTTCTTGACAAAAACGAGTCTACCCACGAGTCTTTGTGTTTTTAGTGTGTGTTGTTATCGTCGCTTGGAACTCAATTACTGTGTATGTGCAGGTGGCGACCCCATCAGTTTAAAGATCAAAAGGGACACCAGAAAATAAGTTGTATACACACAAAATAATGTAATCATCACACTGAAACTGCAATCTGTCAGTGTCTTGTTGAACATAAAGTTTAAATCAAAATTAAACAAAGAAAAACTTGACCAATCATTCATCGACAGCATTTTTATACAGTCTCCAAATTTATTCAACTAATATGTGGCCAATTTTGTAGATGGCAAAATACTTTGATTGGATTTGAAGTTGCAGTAATATTCATTTGTGTCAACAAAGCCATGTACATTATAAATTGTTTATAAGTTGCTCTAATTGACTGAGCCAATCATTTATTTGAATTTGAATGAAATTTTGAATGTGCATATAATATGGGTTTATTGATTCCAATGTACTCCCTAGGTTCTGAAACCAATGGCTTTTAATTTAGAACATTTAACTTTCTGCAAAATGAGCACAAAAAAAACCCGGTGTATAATTAAGCCCTATAATGTACATTATGCAGACAGGCAGGTACAAACTCTAGCTTCAGTACACACGAAAACAACCATTTTCTGTCCAATGCAAGATCCAACGTTATGAGTTATACAAAGGTCATAGTGTCATAATGTGCTATACACATATGATGATGGTGAATTTTGATGGAGTAAGGGCATCTCTTACCAAAATGAACCCATCTTCAATTCTTCGTTCAGCTTCCCGTATCAACCTTTTCCTTTCCTCTACGAAGAAACAGAAAATAGCAAAATTCATATTATAATTTTTTTGGCATCTATATTGGCAAGCTCCTACATTTATTCTCAGTATTGTTATTCACTTGTTATTTTTGTCTGCGGATGTTAAACTATGAGAAAATATAGTGGGATTATATACAATTATCCAGCTACAAAATCACATATGCACGTACATTTATATGAATGCAGGAAGGCACTCCTTATTCTTGTATTTCAAATTGTTTTGTTAAAGATGTACTGTCGGCAAAACTTAGTTGAAAGCCCATTTAATATCGAGTCACTTGGTCAAAAATCATGACACACGACACATTGTACAATTTAACAACTGAGGTATTTATTTGTTGTTCAAATTCTGCTTCAGGAGCATGCTAAACACAACAAATTTGAAAAAAATGTAATGTTTGATGGTGTGATTTTTTTCTAAATGGAAAATGCTTCACATTGAATATTGCTTTTGAAAAACATCTTGCGAATCCCATAGTTGTTGTGTTTATCACAGTGCGCATACTACTTAACATGTCTTGAAACAACGTTTTGCTGACACAACAACTATAAAGTTGCATTCTGAGAATTCGCCCACATTTACCCACAAGGCCCACAGTAATTCAGAACAGAGGTAAATCGTTTTGAACTTGTGCTTGTCAGAATGCTACTCAAAAGGTATTAGAAATGGGAAGCCAACAAACATGCTGAACATCACTGAATTTTTTTTTTTAAATGTTGGTAAATATTTCCCATAATTTATGAGAATTCAACCCATCAACCCCCAGAAAACCAAATAAATCTTTAGCAGTGTCTTAATTTACAGATCAATCTTGAAACTAAACAGAGGGAATGTACTTGTCACAAATATATAAATATTTCACACTTTCAAAATTAATATGCTAGTCTGCTGAACCCATAAACATTGTCCTTGGATCTTCAGATTTTACAGGTACTAGCCATGAATGTCGTGCTCTTTTTCACAAATTCACCAAAATATGGGCAAAAATTGCTGTGATGATACAGTTTTCTATTATGCGAATGTCTTTATTTATTGGAATTGACTTTCACTGAGCACATTATTTTTTTGTTAAGATTCGAAGTACAGGATTAATTAACTTTATATAATGTATATAATAACTCTGCTTTTCAAGGTTTTACATTGTGGACGAAACTACAACTTGTGAATGGAAATGTGAGCGCCATTTTGGATTGTGATCATCATGTGATTCACTCGCATCACGTTAACATTTCGACTAAATCTAAATAACTCACCTCCACTTGAAGCAGGTATTCTGTCAGACACTGCTGAATTTAATGATTCATATAATGTTTGAAACTCATCTTCGTGTTTCTCGAACTGTTCAGACGACATTTTCGGAGCGATATAAACCGACGATGACGCCCAAAACACTTCCTGGTTCAATGTTGACTGTGACAGCGCCCTCGTAGGTATGTGTGTTAAATTATTTCGTCTATGGTACTCCCCCATTTCACCACACCCGGTAGATACGCTATCAGCATATAGTTATCTGTGAATTTGAAAGATCGCAATGTTTGTTGATATTTAATGCTTTACAGTGATTGTGTATGCTCACCTATTATCATGAGTGGTCCAATACGTTTCAGCGCACTACGGGTTTCAGTAATCCCTAGTGGTCTAGTGGTTAGGATATGTGGCTTTCACCCACAGGGCCCGGGTTCGATTCCCGGCTAGGGAACTAATTTTTTGAAGGTCAAAAACCAACAACATTTAGATAACAGATGGCAAATAAACTGAATAAACGGCAGAAACTAAATAAACGACAGAAGATAAATCACAGTTCCTCAATAAGGTACAGTACGTGTACCTGATTTATCCATACAGTGGTCCAATCGTAAATTGGAACCTATAGAGAATAACACGTACGGGCTAATCTCATATTCGCGTTGATTTTCATGGCAGAAATGGCATACCGAAATGAATAGTAAATCTTCCAAATGAACATTTAAGGTAGCAGGATAGTTTTTTTGCATGAAAAATGTAAACACCTATAATCGGAATACATTTTACAAGAAACCATACAATCTATATATGTTTGGAAAGCTCTTGACTTGTATTTTCCTATTATTAATATTTTGTGAACATTGTGTTTGTTTTAGCGTCACGTGATACTGAAAATCAGCGAGGCTGATAATTTAACTAACGTGAATAAAATTTTAATTGTCATCTCTACAGTCATTCATGCAATCAAAAACTTTACACTGTTTTGAAGCAAAGGTCATGAAGTTTAAATCCGTATTTCTATTTTTTGCATTAAGTTTTTTTTTTTCTTTCCGAAAGTCACAAATTTCAAGCACGTTTTTTGGTGTTAAAGTTAGAGTATACCGGTGGTTTGCGCGAGGTTTGTGAAAACACGCAATAGAATTTTGCAAATATGTAAATACGGATAACCCCTAATAGCTTGACAGTTTCACCAGAGCGTGCCGTCCCTTTCCAATCGCTCGCATTCCAATGGCAGCTTTTCTATTTATTTCGAAAACTGCTCCCTTTTTTCGGGATGACGGGAAGCTAGGCTGGCTCAGTTTCGATTGAATACAACCTCCTTGCGTGCAAAGAAATTCAAACTGACTGCCTAGACCGTGACGCCTGCGCTCTACTATTGAGATATTGTCTACTTTGCAAAATTGACAAATCTCTTTTTCTAGGGCGCCATTCAACAGTGACATGTCAACGAGTCGAATCTCGCCGTCTTCAAACGATCGGCCGTGACATTCACTCTCACTTTCTTCTTCTACGTCGGAAGGTAACAAT